ATTCGTCTTGCAAAACTCCAGAATCCTCAGACAGGCAGGCAAGGCCGCGAGGCCACCCTTCCCTTCGCCTCCACCTTCCCCTCGATTTGGGTTCTGTCCGTGTTTTCTGGCCCCCTTACCCTAGGCCGGAGACCTCGGCACCCTGTTCCCTCTACTAGCCCTAACCCCAAGCCCAGCTCCCCGGGACGCCCTCATCCCACGCCTAGCTTTCTTTTGGGCAAAATGGAGGTCGTGGGGGCCGGAGGGCCAGGCCCACTGCGCTTCGCAGCGCGGCACCGGCCCGCGCCTTCCAGCTGCCAGATCCGGGACCCTCCCATGTCCCCTCCCCTTCGCCCCGCCAGACCTGCGGAGGCGGTGGCACCCCCATTTCTCCTTAGGGCCTCGGATGCTGTATGCCCAGAATCCGGGGGCCGCCGAGGGGGCCCTGGAGGGTGATGGGGACTGAGGGCTGGAAGCGTCGCCCCCGCCCCCAGCGGCTTCCTCCCGGCCTGCTTCCTTCTGCCCCTGGCCTCTGGCGTTGCCGCTCGGCCTGGGCTGCTGGCAGCTGGAAGGAAGGGGCTTTGTCCGGAGCTGGGGACATGGAGTGGGAGACTCTGCCCGCCCCGCCCCGGCTCCCCGCTTTTTTGGAGGGGCATCCCCCGGCGCTAGCGTAGAAAGCTGAACTGGCAGAGGGGAAATGTCAGTGGGGAAGAGGAACGCCCAGGGCCTGGGGGAAGTGGGAGCTGGGTGGGGGAACGTCTGGGTCGGCAGAGTGCAGTGAGCATGGCCAGAGCACACAGGTGTCCAGAGAGGGGGGCAGGACTCCGGGCCCTGGAGCGGAGCCAGCCGGGCCCCTGGGGCCCCGGCGCGCGGAGCTCGGAGGCTGGGCTCCTGGGGTGCCGAGGGCGCAGGGCCGGGCCGCTTGGGGCCGCCAGCCCGCCCGCTGGCCCGCGTCTGGGAGAGAGCAGCTCCGCGCCTCGGGGCCGGGGACCTCTCCTCGGAGCACTAATTAATTACCCGAGAGCGGCTCCCACGGGCTTTCTGCGGGCGCGCCGGGGCGGGCGGCCTCGGCGCTGGAGGGAGCAGCGGCTTGGGCTGCCTTCCCCGCCACCCTCCCCTCCGCCCGCGGGGGGCGGCTAATGGGGCGCAGCCGGCCCGGGGATTATCCAGGGTGAGCCGTCCCGAACCTATTAGTGCCAATCGGCTTTCCCAAATCCTGTAAACAGCCACCCTGGCCGGTTCTGGGTCGGGGCGGGAGGCTGGGTCGGGCGGGGGAAATGGGGCCGGGGGTGGGGTCACCCACCCTACAGGTCTCTGCCGTGGATGCGGTTGCCTTGGCAACAGGGCTAGGGTGGGGGCACTTCACCAATGAGGTGCTCTTAGTCCGGGTGACGGTTGCCTAGGCAACCCCACGAACAGCCCAGCTCCCCCCTCTGGTCTCTCCCCCACCCCAGTCGAAGCTGGGGGTGTGTGTGGAGGGTGTGCGGCGTGTGGGGGTGAATTTAAAGAGGCACCGCCCCTTTTAAAATTAGGTGCTAGGAGGGCGGTGCCTGTGCGGGCCAGGGCAGACGCCAGGTCTGTTTTCGAAGGGACTCTCCCCGCCCCCTCCCCCCGTCCCCCCCTTCAGTTCCTGCCGCGGGTGTCCCGCCCGGGCGGCTGTCCGAGGGAGGGGTTTCCCCTGCGCTTCCTCTTGCACTTCCCGCTCCGTTTCCGGGGGGCGGGAGGAAGATTAGGGAAGTCAGCTGTAACTGGGCAACATCCCTCCTGTGCCAGAGACCCCGATTCTGCCTGGGGGACCGCGGCCACCGCTGCTGTCCCCTCCCCCTCCTCCGACCGGCGCTTACCCCTTCCGGGCCGCGCTTCAACCCCGCCTTTTCCCCCTTCTTCCCCGGCGGCCTTGGGCCTGACGTCAGCCCTGCATCCCCCAGGCCTCGGGCCAGCGGCGAGGAGCTGTCTCCCCCAGCCCCCGGCCCGCGGCCCCCAGCCGCCCCCAACCCCGCCCCACGGGCCCGGCGCCATGAGTGAGCTGGAGCAACTGAGACAGGAGGCTGAGCAGCTCCGGAACCAGATCCGGGTGAGAGGGCCTGGCCGCTGGGCTGGGGAGGCTGAGCGGGCAGGGCCAGGTGGCCTGCATGTACTGGCTTGGTGGGTGGTGGATTTTTGTGTGTGTGGCTACCCTAGTCTCTCACTGTCTCCTCCTCTCCACTCCTCTGTCACCTCTTTTCCCTGCCTCCTCCTCCCCCTCTCCTCCTGCCTCTTTCTGATGGGCTCTGCCATCTCTTCTAGGATGCCCGAAAAGCATGTGGGGATTCAACACTGACCCAGGTGAGATGAATCCAGGGCCGAACCTGGGGTTTAGGGAAAAGGAGCAAGGGTTTGAGGCATAGTGCTTGGTGGGCCATGCCGCCCGAGCCTCCCTGAGCCCATTCTGCCTCTACCTCCAGATCACAGCTGGGCTGGACCCAGTGGGGAGAATCCAGATGAGGACACGGAGGACCCTCCGTGGGCACCTGGCAAAAATCTATGCCATGCACTGGGGGACAGACTCAAGGTGTGTGTGTGTGTGTGTGTGTGTGTGTGTGTGTGTGTGGTTGGGGCTGTGTGCTGAGCTTTTGTGTTTGCCCTGGGCTGAGTTTATAGCAGGCAGAGGGGGGCAGGGGTCGCAGCCTCGCCGATCTGGTGGGATGAACGGGATGCCTATGTTGCTGAGCGTGTTTGGGAAGACAGTGACCCCCAGAGAGCCCCAGGGGGTGGGAAACAGGACCGTGCTGGCAGCTCCTGGGAGTGGTCTCGGAGGGCCTCCCACCGGCTGAGAGAGGAGGAAAGGTGTCCTGTCTCCAGAGGGAGCCTCACACCTTGACCCCTCTGCCTCTCCCCCGCCACTTTTTTAATAGGCTGCTGGTCAGCGCCTCCCAGGACGGGAAGCTCATCATTTGGGACAGCTATACCACCAACAAGGTAGAGGTGGTGCCTGAGGCTGGATGGGGTGGGGCCGCGGGCCCTGGCTGGCTCTGACCCTGGGCACTGCCCCCTTCTCTCCAGGTCCATGCCATCCCTCTGCGCTCCTCCTGGGTCATGACCTGTGCCTATGCGCCCTCAGGGAACTTTGTGGCTTGTGGAGGGCTGGACAACATCTGCTCCATCTACAGCCTCAAGACCCGCGAGGGCAATGTCCGGGTCAGCCGGGAGCTGCCTGGCCACACCGGTGAGAGGGACCTGGCAGGGCTCGGGCGCTGTTGCGGGGGGAGGGGCTGTGCTGCCCGCCCGTAGAGACTCGGCTGAGCAGCCCCTTTCCCCAGGGTACCTGTCGTGCTGCCGCTTCCTGGATGACAACCAAATTATCACCAGCTCCGGGGACACCACCTGGTGAGGCCCTGCCAGGGCTAGGGAGTCGGGGCTCACCTATACTTCCTGCTTGGGGTACCCCTGCCTTGGTGCTTAGCCTGTAGCACGTGCCCTGAGCGAGCAGGGGCCTTCTGAACACTTCGCCTCCCTTTCCTGTGACCCAATGGCTCCGGGTGCCCCTTCCTTGGAGGTTCTGTCAGGGCTGGGCTCACATGGGGGAGAGGACGGCAGAGGACAGGGAGTCCGTCCTGTACCCCTCTGTGATCCCTTCCTTCTTTGTGTCGTCTCTCCAGTGCCCTGTGGGACATTGAGACAGGCCAGCAGACAGTGGGTTTTGCTGGGCACAGTGGGGATGTGATGTCCCTGTCACTGGCCCCTGATGGCCGCACCTTTGTGTCCGGTGCCTGTGACGCCTCCATCAAGCTGTGGGACGTGCGGGATTCCATGTGCCGACAGACCTTCATCGGCCACGAGTCGGACATCAATGCCGTGGCGGTAAGTTCTGGGTCGAGCCGGGCTGGCCTGTCTGCCAGGCTCACCGCTCTGTTGTGCCCTCATCTGGCTCGGGGCCTGTGTCCTGCAGTTCTTCCCCAATGGCTACGCCTTCACCACGGGCTCGGACGACGCAACGTGCCGCCTCTTCGACCTGCGGGCTGACCAGGAGCTGCTCATGTACTCCCACGACAACATCATCTGCGGCATCACCTCCGTGGCCTTCTCCCGCAGCGGCCGGCTGCTGCTCGCCGGCTATGACGACTTCAACTGCAACATCTGGGACGCCATGAAGGGCGACCGCGCAGGTGCGTGCTGGGCGCTGGGGAGGACGGGCGGGGGGAGGGCGGAGGGGGGCCAGGGAGCCTGGGTTCTGATGGTCCTTCCTCACAGGTGTCCTCGCCGGCCACGACAACCGTGTGAGCTGCCTTGGGGTCACTGATGATGGCATGGCTGTGGCCACAGGCTCCTGGGACTCCTTCCTCAAGATCTGGAACTAACAGCTACCCCCTGCTGGGCCCAGGCCAAGAGGGGCCCTGCCCATGCCCACACTACAGGCCGGGAGCTTTGGGGCTGGGTGAACACCGAGCCTCCCTCCCCGGGCCACGGGGCCTTGGGTCCCTGCTCCCCTACCCAGGTTTGGTTCCTCCCGAGGGCCCCCACTGTCGATAATAAGATGGGGATAGAATGGGGGAAGAGGAGGGGCAGAAAGCCCTCATCCTTTTGCTGCCCTGGGGTTAGGGCCTTGTCCCTCTGGAGGGCCAGAGGCAGGAGGTAGAAACTCCAGGGGCTGGCTTTTTTAAAACTGGTTTAATTTTAATTTTTATTATATTTTCAGTTTTTCCATAAAGGAACCAATTCCAACTCTGTACCTGGTCTCTACCCTTGTGTCTTTCTCACTCCAGATCTCTGTTCCCAGGGCAGACCAGCGTGTGTGTCAGGGGTGGGGGGTGGATATAGCCTCTCATAAATAGGGACCAGAGAGAAATTCCCACAGCTTCTCAGCTACAGTCAGGCAGGAGGACCTTCTGCCCAGCAGGGCCATGGATGCTCCCAAACACACACAGCCCTCTGCCTGGCTGACCACAGTTGCCCCTGGCCACAGCTCTTTCAGTTCCTAGCGCTCAGCCTTGTCTCTGTTCCCCAAAGACCCTTTTTCCCAAGAAAAGACACAGAAGCAGAAGGGGAGAACACACACCAAGTTTTATTGGGGGAAGGGGAATATTTACAGGGGCAGGTAGAAGAAAGGGGAGTCACACAGGGTGGGGGTAGGGGAGAGATTGTGGGTCCAAGGCAGACAAGGGGATACAGAACAGCCCCTGCACCCACCCCAACCCAGGGAGGGTGGGAGAGCAGCTGGGACCCAGGAAGACGGGTGGGAAAGGACGGCAATGGGGGTGGAGTCCCTGGGCTGGGGGGCTCAGGGGCTTGTAAACATTGACCACTCTCAGAAGGGGATGGGGGTGGGAGAGGGCTCCCCCTACACTTCCTCACAGGGTTAAGGCCTCTCCAGGCTCAAGGGCCCCCTAAGTTCAAAGTCTCTTTAGCTGGGGGGAGGGAAGGGGAAGGAAGAGACAGGGAAGAGTGTCACCCCCCTCCCCTGCATTGGCTGCGGCAGGGGTGGGGGCGGTTACATTCAGTCACAACAGTACTCCCCCGACACCTCTAATGCCGCCAAATACTGGCGTGAGGAAGGGGGGAGCTGGGGGGCCAGCAGCAGCAAGACATTTCCCCCTGGCCCATCACCCCCTTATTGCTTTAGAGAGAATAAAGTCTTTTCACGGACGCTAACACTGTTGAAACCAGGGAGAAGCAGGTGGAGGGTAGCCCTCCACCCCCGAGGCCAGCTTTATCCCCCAACACTGACCCAGTTGCCACTTTGGTGCAAAACAAAAAAAAACAAAACGAAAACAAAACAAAACAAAAATGTGGTCTCTCTGGGGATGGATGGGGACTCCCCATTTCCCCAGGGCAGGAAGGATAAATACATTCATGGAGGGGAGGCAGTGGCAGAGTCCTGCCCTAATACTGCGCTCTGAGCAATGAGGTCGACGGGAGAAGTTAAATGAGAAACCCAAAAGATACAACAAACTGTTTTAAAAAAAAAAACAAAAAAACCCCACAAATGGAGACAAATCCAGGCAGGTGATTGGGAATAAGAAGTTGGTGAGCAACAGAAGGGCAGCCTACCCCTGACCCAGGAGAGACAACACTTCTATTCTTGACCCCCGCACCTTACCCAACATTAAAAACGCATCAGGGGAGCAGGAAGGGGAGAGGCCACTTGCTCCTCCCCATTTGGTCAATGGAGGGGTCAGAGCAGAGCTGGGTGGTCCACGTTCCACACAGCTGGCTGCAGGCAGGGAACTCCCTTCTAACAGCCCCCACACCGCATCCTGAAGCCCCATGCTGCCCACGCCCTTGGCCTCCTAGGCCCTCCTCTTGCCCCTTTCACAGGAGAAAATAGTCATTAAGTGGTGCCTCTCTCTCCAGCTCCTGGAGGAACTGCTCCGCTCCCACCTCGCGCAGGGTTGAGGCAGAGGGCGCAGCAGGGGCTTGTGGCCCAAAGAATACATTCATGTGGCAAGGCAGGGAGCTGAGGCTTTCAGCTTCACACCCAGGCCGTCCCCCCCAAATGGCAGCAGTGGGGGAAGCCCTCACTGGGGCCAGAGTGGAAGTTCTTCCACCCTGACAGCCAGGTGAGGCTGGCACTGGCTGGCCCTTCCCCCTCTACCTCGTCAGCCAGCGCAGGACAGCAGCCTAGAGAGCTGAGGCGGCCCGGCCCATTTGTGCAACTTTCCCCCAAAGCAGCAAAGCCAAGGGGCTACTTTGGCCCCTACCCCGGACACCCCTGCTGCAGTCACAGCAACAAAGGGAGCCGTTCACAGCGGGTCCGGCTGGCGGGGCTGAGGGGGCCTCGCTGTGCAAACTGCTGGCACCCCAGCTTCCAGTTACCCCAATGGCCCACCTTGCGGGGCAGGGAGGGTAAGTGCAGCCTCGGGGGCCAGGCAGGACAGGTCCGTGGGGCCTGTGTCCCCACTGCCCCAAAATAACAGTGTGTTTTTTCTTTCAATCTCCTAACCTTTTTTTTTTCCATTTTTTTTTTTCTTAAAAACAAAACAAAACAAAACAAAACCAAAAATCCCAAAAAACCTCTGTGGACCTTCCACTGTCACCCTCACTGTCCCTAGAGGGGGAAGGGGTGCTTAGAGTCTAGTTTTTAACAAATTTTTTTTTTTTCTCTCCTAACGTTTTCTTCAGGGTTGTTTAAAATTTTTTTTTTCAAAGAAAAAACAAAAACAAAACAAAAACAAAAAAACCCCCCAAAACAAAAACCCTTCCCCCCCAATCTGTAAAGTGCCTCGTGGTGGGTGAATTAAGGTGCATCGTGTGGTTTGTAACAAGTGCTGGGGACCCTGCCCCTGCTTCCTCCTATGCTCCTTGTGGGGAGCCTGCAGGCTGGGGACCCAAGGGTCCAAGCCGCTGCTGCCGCCCCTGGCCTACAGCCCAGGGGCTGGTGGGACGGGCTGGTCAGTAGTCATCCACGCTCTCGATCTCACCAGAAGGTCCGTGCAGGGAGTACCCTGAAGCCGGGGAGAAGCTGGGTTTGAGCTCTCCCCAGGCTCCTGGCCCCTGCTGAGTAAAAAGCCTCCTTCATGGCCACACCCCAAACTCACCCAAGATGCTAGGATCTGAGTGCAGCATGAGCGCCCGCCTCTTGGCCTTGCTGCCCTCCCCAGGGCCGAGTTTGGTGCTGTGGTTGGTCTGAAAGGCTGTCTGTAGGGAGCCACTGCTCAGCCATGCCTCCTGTGAGGCTCAGACAGGGAGGGTGGGTCAGCAGGGTGAGGGGCAGCCTCACCCCCCCTGCCAAGGGCCCTCGAAGCCTCACCTGCTGCTGCTGCCGCTGCTGGCTGGCTTTCTGTTTGGCCCTCCGCTCCAGGAACTGTTTGGCAAATTCTTTGGCTTCCAGCGTGTCCCCCAAGCAGGAACGGATATAATCGTGGACATCGTAGGGGGATTCCACCTCCTTGAGGATCGCTACAGCCATGGGTACTGAGGGGCAGGAGGGGAGGGGCGCTCAGGGCCCACTTGATGCAGGTCTGGAGGCCCCGGCCCCGCCCGGCCTCCCCGGGTCTGTCGCCTGTACCATCCAGGCTGCCTGTGGTGCTCAGCGTGTGCAGCATCTGCTCACACCACTGGGTGAAGCCGTCCTGGGGCCTGGGGATGCCCTGCAGCAGCTTCAGCAGCTTCTCTTCCTCCTCGGTCTTTTTGCGCACAGGCCGACCGGACAGGTGGCTATACGAGTCACTGAGTGGGCCGGGCACGAATCAGAGGCAAGAGTTCAGCGCAGGCCTGCTACATCCCCCAAGCCCTGCCCGAGACCGCACGGAGCCTGCAGGCCCCAGCACCCACCTGAGAGAGGGGCTGCTCCGGCTGTTCTTCAGGCCCAGGCCGCGGGCCAGGCTCCCGCCGCTCTTGAGGGTGTCCTCCCAGAGCCCCGGGCCGCCGCTGCCGCCCCCACTCTTGTCGGGCCCGCCCCACAGTGGCCCGGCCTCAGATACCCACTGGTTCAGGGGGGCCGAGCCCAGGCCCCCAAGCTGGTACAGATGGCAAAAATCAGAGTGGCCCCAATACGGACACACACACACTAGAACAGCTAAGTGGGGAGGCTCACGGAGGTGGCTGAATGGAGCGAGGTGAGGGCCGCCCAGAAGAGAAACGCTCCAGAGTCAGGTACAGACCAGCACTGAGGCTGCGAAGTCGGGGCTCAGCAACTCCCCCCCACCCCACGGGTCACTCTGGGAGCTGGCTGGAAGGGGTTCCCGGAGGCTCAAAACCTGGCGCTCGGGGCTCGGGGCTCGGGGCTCGGGGCTCGGGGGGTAAGGGCCAGCCTGCTCACCACGCGGTGGTTGGGGGCCTGGGCCCGCGACGGCTCCCGGGACGGGGCCTGCTTGTGCAGCTGCCGCTCGCCCTCCAGCTGCAGCTCGAGCAGCGTCTTCATGGAGAGCCCCTGCTTGGCCAGGCCGGCCCACAGCGGGGGCGGGGAGCTGGGCGCCGCGGGCGCAGGGGGCGCCGGGACAGCGGCCACCGCCTGCTGCTGCTGCAGCAGCTTCAGCAGGAGCTCCTGCTGCCGCACCTGGGCCGGGGCAGCGCGGTGAGGGCCAGCGGCCTGGGCCCGGGGGCCCCTGGCGGGCGAGGCCGGGAGCAGCCGGGCACACACCTGCTTGCGCCGAAACAGCTCCTCCTCCTCCTGCCGCCGCTTCTGCTCCTCCTGCTGCTGCTGCCGCCGCTTCTCCTCCCGCCGCTTGCGCTCCTCCTCCTCCCGCTTCGCCCTGAGCTCGGCTTCTCTGCGCTCTTGGAACTGGCACAGCCAACGAGCTCAGGCGGCAGACCTGGGCGCCGCGCCCCCGGCCTTCCCGGCCTTCCCCGCCTTCCCCGCCTTGGCCCGGCCCTCGCCGCCCGAGGACCCCGGCCCCGGGAAGCCTACTCACTTTGTGCTGCAGCTGGAGTTGTTCTAGAATTGGACCCTGAGTCGAAGAGTTAATTGGTATGTCCCAAAGACTGGCCTCACCGCCTGCAGAAACAAGGGCAGCCGCAGCAGGCGGCTCAGGCTGGGCTGGAGCGGCCGGAGGCGGGAGCAGACACAAAGCCCCCCCCACCCAGGGACTTGCGGGGGGTGCTCCGAACACGGGGGCAGGGAACAGGCGGGCCACACACCTGACTGTGATGAGGCTGAGGTATGTATGTCCCAGAGGGAGCCCGAATCTGGCACTGACAAGGACCGGTTCATGGTCGGGAGCAGGTTCTGGTCCCCGCCTCTGAGGAGCAGAGCAGGGATTCTCAGAACCCCGAGTTCCTCTTGGGTCTGCCCCCCTCGCCCCCAAAAGACACCAGCCCCTGAACCTGGGCGGTTTGAGAGCTTGGAGCTGCTGCAGGAAGGCGGTGAGCTGCTGCGGCGGCGGGCTCAGGTCCCCCAGAGCCGCCTTTTCCCGGAGCGCGCACTGCGGGAGCTGCCGGCTGTGGGCCCAGACACGGGCGTCAGCGGGGCGGGGGCCCCCAGCCCGCAGCCCGCCTGGCCGCCAAGGCCTTCCAGGCGCCCCGTACCTGCCGACCAGCTGCAGAAACTGCTGGTGCTGCAGCTGCTGGTACAGGGCGGCCGCGGCAAGCTCCTGCTGCTTCTTCAGCCGCTCCTGGTCCATGTTGCCCTGCGCGAGGCCCACGGCGCGCCTGTGGCTCTGCCCTTCAGCCCTGCGCCCCCAGCACGGCTCCAGCCTCCCCTCCCCGCTCGCCAAGGCGGCCGGGCTCACCAGCAGTGGGGGTGGCGAGGGTCCCGGGGCAAAGGGCACACGACCCCACATCTTGATCACCTCACCCAGTGGCTGGAAGCCCTCATCACAGCCCCGCTTCACAAGCAGCGCCATGGAGAAATAGCCCGCCTGGAACCACTCTGCCATCTCCTGTGTCGTGAATGGGCCTGGACCAAGGGAAGGGGGGCCTCGGTCAGAAAGCCGTGCCGGCGAAGCCCTGAAGGAGAATGGTGTTGTCCCCCTGCCCCCAGCAGCCCCGCTGACACGGTCCCCACTGCCCGCGGGCACCTTGGATCTCCCCCTGGGGATCCTTGTAGAACCATTTCCGGGCCGCACCGTGGCTCAGGGGGAGGGCAGTGGCAGCTGCTGAGTGGCGCAGGCCCTGGGCCTGCATGGCGGCCGTGAACTGCTCCTCCTCCAGGGAGCTGTCCTGCAGGGAGGCCACCAGCTTCTCTGCCTCCTGGGAGACCAGGGAGAGAAGGAAGGCTCAACAGCCCAATCACGACAACATCAGGACGGGACTATAGCTAAGATTGGGATGGGGTCAGGAGGTCGAGTCACAATGCAGAGGGACAGAAGCAACAATGGCTCTCCGTCCCCCGTAGGGCAGGATCCCCAGAGCCTTCTGAGGTCCCTCACACCTGCTGCAGGTGCTTCAGGCCTTCATCATCCTCCAGATCTCCAGGCGGGCCAGAGGATGAGCCTACTCCAGGACTCAGCGGCATTCCCCTCAGATCGTCTAGAAGCAAAGAAAGCAAGTGGAATGGGGGTCCAGAGAAGAGAATAAGACGCTTCCTCACCCACCCTCGTTCCAGAAAAGTGGACTCTAGTTCTACCTCTTCCCCCCGCCCAAGATGCCTTAGGCACCTCCATCCCACCACAGAAAGAGGAGCGTCCCCCCCCACCCCCACTACCTTCAGCTGCCGGCAGGTCCTTGTCTGCAGCGTCGTCACCTTCCCCATTAGCTCCCCAGAGGGGGCCCAAGGTGGGCAGTGGGGATGGGGAACTGGACTTCTCCTCCTGAGGAGGCAGTGGAGTCAGTTCCTTCCCTCCTGAAAGAGATGGGTAATTACCAGAATTCAAAACGAAGAGCTAGAGAACCTTAAAAATGACTTGACACAAGTCTCCCATTTCTGGCCAGAACCTAGGTCTCTGGGCCTTGAATCCACCCACCTAACTTTGCTCAACTCCGCTAACACCCAGCAAATCAGCACCACGAACCCCACCTCGCAACACTGTACACGTTGTGCACGTGTCCACGTCACTGCCCAGGGCTGCACACGTACCACCACAGACTTAACACCGTGTTCTTCAGATTCTCTCAAGGACTTGCACAGATCATCTTGATTATGCCTGAATCTAAACTGACACTCTGCCTTTCAGATGCGGCCCTGCTCCGTTCCTCCCCCACCCGGCAACACCTGCTCTTCGCCCAAGCCCCCTTCTCCTAAAGGCGGGTGGCACAGCCTGGTGAGGGCCCCTCTGCCCGCCTGGCCTGGCTCAAGGCACTGCCCCCCCGCCCCCGCAGGCTCACCTGCCTCAGGCCCCCCCTCGTCTACTAGCCCTTCAGGAGGCTCTTCCTCCTCTTCCTCCAGGCCCTGGAAGTCGAGCTCCTGCTCCTCAGGAATGGGCTCCTTGGGGCCCTTCTGCACAGGGTTAGGGGACACGGTGGGGAGCGAGAGGCAGAGGATGAACAGGTGGGAGAGAGAGGCCCCCACCAGGGTAGGTCCCACCACCCTCCAGTGGAGACCTTCCCTGTGTTTCCTCCGATACCTTGAGAGGCAGGAAGGCCCCAGAGGCATCGAAGGTGCCCATCTCTTCATCCTCGTCATCCAGGCACCACTCCGGGAGCCCATCCTTGTCTTCCTCAAAGCCGTCAGGCCCTCGGCACCTCCGGAGGTGAGAGCTGCCTCCCCCACCCCGCCCTTCCTCTTCACCACACCCTCCTCGATCCCCTCGCAAATCAAATTCAAACTTGCGACGCCGGTCCCCATGTTCCCGCCAGCCAGCAGAGCGGGGGCCGCCATCTGGGCAGGAAAAGTCAGAGAAGAAGGTCGGTATCCCAGTCACGCCAGCCTTCACCTTTCTGCTGCCCACCAGGACCTCCCCTCCACCCTGGGGAGGTGTGCCCTCCCACCCTCTCCACTCCAGAAAGCTTTCTGTTCCTTCCACCCGGCCGCAGGAGCCCACCCTCACACGAAGTTTCTGCCACCCTCTGACCCCACAACACCCATCCGGCCCCAACCTCACCAGGGCTGGCTGAGCGCCAGCGGTCGCCATCTCGCCGGGGTCCTGCCCCAAGTCTCCAGCTGCCCTCCTCCTCTTCCTCTTGCTCCTCTCGAAGAGAACGCCAGTTCTCGCTATCTGAGCGGGCATGTTCCTTCCTCGGGCCAGCCCCTCCCTCCTCAAACCCGGATCGTGCTTGGGGGTAGGGGAAGACACAGTCAGCGGAACAGCAGCCATGGTCCCTGGAAGACTCTTACTATAGACCTTGCAGTAAAAAGGAGCCCAGCTCCAGGCCCTCCCATCCCCACCAGCTCCCTCAGGAACACACTCCCCTAATGGCACCACCCATTTCAGTCCTCCCCCCACCTCTCAACGACCTTCGGGACCTGGCCATCGCCACTCTCCATACCTCCATCCCTCCTGGCCGACTTCTCAAACCTTCTCTCGCCTCTGCAGAAGGAAGAGGTGTTGGGTCAAAGGAGGATGGATTCCACCCTGCCCTCCAACTTGCGGCATCCCTGCACACCCTGTCCGTTCTGCCCTGAGAGGGGTGGGAAGAGGGAAAGCACAGGGGCGGGGTACTAGGGAAATGTCAGGCTTGGGAGGGAGCCCAGAGAGGCACGCAGAAAAGGCCGCAGGATAAATGAGTACTAAGAGAATCAGAAGGAAAAGGAAGAGGGCCACAGGGAGTCAGTCAGAGGCAAAGAGAAAGATCTGTGGCCAGGGCTTATTTGGTGGGTCTCCTGTTGCCCTCTACGGACAAAGACCCGAGCCGCCGTGCAGGGACGGCGCCGCAGGGCTTCCCTCCGCTCTGCCACCGTGCTGCCCGCACCTGTCATCCCAACTCTGGCTACGCTGGATCTCCCGGGGGTTTCGGCCAAAGGCCCCATCGCCTTCTTCAATGCTTCTTTGGTAAAAGCAACTGTCACCACGGCCTCGGCCTGGATAAAGGATGAGATACATGTGGGAAACCTACCTGAGCATCTCTCTGCACCCTCAAAACCACAGCCCGCCCCCCCACCCACCCCCAGAACACACTGTCACCCCCTCTACCTCGGCTCCGAGTGCTGCCCCTGCCACGGGAGGTGCCACCTAGGGGGGGGCCAGCCCCTTTCCCCATCAGCCTCAGCACAGCCACACTGTTCACTGACAGGGAGAAGTTTCTCTGAGGAGGGAGCCAGGGGTGGCAGTGAGGACCCAGGCACCTGCCCCCCCTCACCCCTGCCCAGAACCACAACCTCCACCCCCTATCTTCCCAGCTTCAGACGCTCTCTGCAAGGGGAAGACCCAGCGCCCTGCCCGGCCCCGCCCTGGCCCAGCCCCACCTGCTCCTCCTCAGTCAGAGGCTCCAGCGCCAGGGGCTGCAGGGGCTCCTCCTGCAGGAGCACAGCAAACTCCTTGTCCTGCAGCTCAGCCGGCACCTGTCGGTCGGGGCGGGAGAGCCGGGATCCCACCTGCTCCGGGACGCTCTCCACTGGCTCAGACCAAGCAGGCAACAGGGCCACACACCCCACACCCGCCTGCCCCCACCTTGTTCTCCTTGACGTAGAGAGCCAGCATTTCTTCTCGCCCGTAGCGATAGTCAGCCAGCTTGTATTTGGGCATGGCAGGGGATGGGGGTGGGGAGGCCACGCTGCCACCACTGGAAAGGGCCCTCAGCCTAGGAAAGGGACACAGGGAAGGAAAGAGACAAGAGTCTGAGCAACCCTATTCTTCCTGGCTTCTCCAGGCCATCCAGAGCATGTCTAACTCACCACTCAGGCCCAAAATTGAGGGTCTCCGCTGCCATGATGGGGCTGGGCGTGTCCTCGAGGTCAGAGGGGCTGAAGGGAAGAGGGGGGGACCTGGCGTTCACTCTCCAAACACCTGTGGAGGCACCGGGACGCTAGGCCTCGGAGACAGCACACCCGGAGAACCACAAGGAAATAAGGTATAGATTCCCACCTAAGGAACTCTGAAAGGGCTCACCTAAGCCAGCCACGTGCCACCCAGCATGAGTGAGGCCAACTGTCACGATGAGGGAAGACCTGGCGGAGAGGAGGAAACAGGGCAGCTAGAGTCCCTTCCAGCTTCAGCAGGGGTTGCCTCCCTCCACCCCAGACTCACTTGGCAGCCTTGCCCCCAGGAAGCAAGTAGGGCCGGGACTGGGCTCTCTTCAGGCAGGGGCCTATGCTGGAATGAACCAAGGTCCCCAAGCTACAGGACGATGATCTGACTGCAGTGGCGCCCGAGGAGGAAGCTTCACATCCGAGAAAGATCCTTACCAAGAGGTGAGGAAACAAAGCTGGGGTTAAACCAATGGGCCAGATGGGCCTCCCCACTTCTGGGCCTCCTCTGTCCTGCATAATGGGGTAATCTACAGATGCTGGACGCTTCCAGTTATCCAGGGCAGAGGATCCCACCCTCTGCTCCTCCTCATCTCTGTCCCCCACGTTAGGCCTCAGAGTACTTAATTCCCTCAGCAGAGCTGAGCGAGGCACTGCTCTCAGCCCCCTCGCAGTGTGGTGCAGCACTCGGTAAAGGGCTGGCTGAGGTATGTGGGCATGCTCAACGCAAAGATAAAACACAAGCAAGCAAACAAACAAAAAACCCATCAGAGCCACAGATATTCTAAAGACAAAAAAACATCAGTTCTGAAAAAAAAAATTACACACTAAGTCTGGGAGGAACCCTTCTGGAAAAAACTCAAGGCTGCCTGTTTGGTGGTAGAATCTAGGGATTCAACTGGGGGGAGGGGGCCAGAAAAAGGGGAGTGGTGGTGGGGAGGCCCTAAGGGCCAAAGGCAGGGCACACGGAAGGCTACGGGCAGGTAAGTCTGCCAGTGCCCTCCTTGGGCTGGTTGACCCACCAGGAATCAACACCCAGACCCTTTCCATGGATCAGGAAGAGCCCACCGTAACTACTAAGAACCAAGAAGAGAACGTCATTACGCTACAGACGAGGACGGCGCTCCCCTCACCATAAAGCAGAAAGGAGGCTGACAGAAGTAGGGGCAGTGGCAGTGATCTATTCCTCTAAGGAACAGCAGAGGAGGCTCTCAGGAGGCGGCTCATCCCTGGCGGTTCCGAGCGAGGACAGCTGGGCAAGGTCTCGGGGAGCTGCACGGGGGCTTCCCTCACTGGCTGGAGGGGAGGCTGGACCCGAGTGCCTCCACAGTTTCCATCAAGTCCAAGACTCCACGACTCTGGCGAGAAAGGAGGAAGGGTTTCCGGCAGAGCGGCCAAGGGACAGCAGCTCTCACGTACATGTGCACATGGGAAGATGGAGCAAAATGCTCTGACAGAGGCGGGACCCAGTCCCAGAATCCCAGCATCCTAGCAGGGAATGCAGCTTTGGAGAGCATCTCGAGCGGGGTGGACCCCCCCCCGACACGGGCATCTCTTCTACAAGAGCCCCCACTGGCCGCTGCTGGTGATGGAGCACGCCACGGCACACATGGCCGTCAGGAGACAAGTCTGTTGAAAAGCTCTCCCTTTCACTGGATTCGAGCAGGCCTCCCAGGACGCACGCTACCATCCCTACTTAACTCGACCAATGAATCAGCCTTGAAGACGTTACACAAGATGGAAACCACCCAGTCACAAAAGAACAAATACCCTAGAATTCCTCTTATGTGAGGTTCCTAAAAATCAAATTTAGAAACATGGAGAGTAGAACAACGGGCCAGGGTTGGGGGGTGAGGAGAGCGGGGAGCTGTTCAGTGGTACTGAGTTTCAGCCCGAATGAGGCAAATGAGGCAGCTCTGGAGATGGATGGTGGTGACGGTTGCACAACATGAACATACTTAACCTCACAGAGCCGGACACTCAAAAACTCAGTTGAAAACTCAGTTAAATGGCGTATTTTAACCACCATTAAAAAAAAGGTTTAGGAAACAAAAGGACATTTAGGAATAGCTACTGCATACCTAAGTCTTCCTCACTCCAAGGAAAACACCCCACATTCCTTCAAACAAACCTCAGGAAAGACTGTTCTGAGCTTCCTGCAGTTCATTCCAGAAGGGCCCCATCTTCAGGGGGAAGGTGGGGGACAGAAGAGCCCTCTGGGTGCGGAAGGCTTCGGGGACAGGAGACAACTCACCCTCCCTCCCTTCCAGGGAGGGGCAAAGGCTTGGACGCTCCTGGACGCTTCCGCTCCGGGCCTGCGGCTTTCGGTCCTGGTTGTCAGAAGCAAACTGAGGAGGAGTGGCTCCCGGTGTGAGCAGCAGGGCAACTGCAGAAGCAAGGAAAAGGCAGTCAGGGCAGAGGAAGCAGAAGAGCGGCTAGAGAAAGAAGTCGCGTCTCCAAGCAAGCCCGGCCACGGGGGGACCTGGTCCCAGCAGCTGGTGCCCACCGCCCCATGGTGCCCACCCCTCCAAACCCGCGGCGTTGGTGCCACGTTTCCTCCCAAGCCGGTGGTTCTCAACTGGGGAGGGGGCTGTGCACCCCCAGGGCCATGTGGCAGTATCTGCAGACGGCTATGGTGGGCATGACTGGAAGGCGCTACTGGCCTCTACTGGGCGGAGGGCAGGGATGCGGCTCCACACGGTAGGATACACAGGGCAGCCCCCCCCCGCAACAAGGAACTAGCTGGCCCAACGTGTCAACACTGCCACGGGTGAGGACCCTTCCTCGATATCGCAAGCGCAGGTAAAGCCTACTCGGTGTTCATGGGGAAGAACAAAGACAAGAGAAACCAATTTATTCCAGTTCAGTCTCCCCTCTGAAGAGCAAGCAAGGAAATCGTTTCCTAATTATACTATCCCATGAGAGAAATCTGAAATCCTGCTAGGAGGGAAATCCTCAAGAAGAGATTTAAAACATTCTGCTAAGTTTCTGTATCACAAACTCTCAAAGCCAACTGTTTGGGTCCCTTTCAGTGAAGGAAAGAGCCGGGACAGGGAGCAGACAGGACTGGGCACAACACCCTTTCCTGGCTTGTTAATCTAAGGCTCTCCTCACAGGCTCATTCCAGCTTACCTGCCACCCCACAGTCCTACCTTCAGCATCTGTCTGCCTCATCTCCCAACGCACTCCCTCTGTCCCTGCCTGCCGGGTCTTCTTTCTCAGGCCTCAGTATACTCTCCCTCCCCTGGCATTGGAATTATTGCTATTAAAAGGCCGCCCCCTGCTGGAGTTGAGAGAAGAGGACACATACTGGTCCAGGGTGCTCACAACAGGCTTGCAGAACAGGAGAGAAGCCTGTTCTCTGGGGTTCAAAACTCTCAGAAGAAAAAGATCCAAAGAAAAGGCAATCCTAGTACACACTAAGTTAACATTATTTCCTCATTCCACCACCCCTAAAATTAGCCCCATTCCAGAGCAATGTGCCTTGGCACAGAAAGGTACCACTATTAACAGAAGTGGAGTCCCAAATTCCCCAACATCTGAGCAACCAGCAACCGCCCAGTCCCAAGCCTGTTGGGAGGTGACTCCGCCCCTTCTCGGGATGGAAAGATAACTCGGAAGCTTAGGAAGGGTGCAAGCCCGTGTTCCCCCCACCCGGTCAGTTAGCGCAGCTCTCTACTCTCTGAGCCATCATGACAAATAACGCCCCTTGGCATGTCTACTGGTTAAGTTTTCAAAGCGCTTTCACACTTTACCTCATTTGATCCCTTCTGCCCACTTGCCCAGTCTTGGGACCCAGCCAGGCAAAACAAGGAAGGGAGGATACAGCTGCCCCCACAGGGGACCCCATGTTCCTAGACACTCTATTTGAGACTAGAGAAAGGATGCACAAACAGCAGGAACCACCTTAAGTACTTTGTGAGTTTTAAACCATTTTAAATTTCTCCTTAGATTTTTTTAAATCCTTCACACGGCAACCTCTTCTCCCTTTCTCTGTTCTGAAGTGTTTCTATCCCTAACTCCAACCACAGACAAGGGCAAACTGGGGCCCCTGGATTCATCAAATCACAACAAAACTCATTTGTCCACTGGCTAAAAAAGCCAGGCCAGAGGACTAGGAACACAACTCACTTGACTGTAATCACCATATGGGACCCTTAAGGCCCTTGGTCCCCAAGCCAAGGCAGCAACGCCAAGTGCAGATCTGTTTCAGCCCTTCCCAATTACACAGCAGACCTCTGGAGCTGGGTGAGGGATTGGTGGCCTGGGACTGCACAGGGAAAAGTGCAGATGAAGGATCCTGAGGGCAAACTCCCACATCATGAATGGCAAAGGAGACCAGCCTGCTGGTATCCATGGGGCTTCAGATGCAGAGACCATGGGTGGGGGGCCAAGATGCAACTGGCATGTCAGCTCCGAGAAACAGTGGAGGGGTGGTGTGCAGGCTGAGTTTTGGGCAAGCAACAATAAGAAGCAGGAGGTGAGTGAGACTGGGGTGGCTGGAGGAAAGAACAGGCCGACAATTGACTTAGCATCTCCCAGGGCTGGAGTCCTATGAAAGACCAGACCGGGACGCTTACTGGGAATTGTGGTAATGACTGGGTAAGAAATGCAAAATGAGGATCTCTTTCAAATTAACTTGGGGCGGCGGGGGGGGGGGGGGGGGGAGTAGGCAAAGTGTGAGGGGCCGAGGCCAGGGAGCTGCCGCATCAGAGGCGCTGGGCTTTGGGAAGAGCCTGGCCTGGAGACACGAAAAACTAAGGTGTTGAAACGGCCCGGCAACAAGGAGAAAGAAGACCCCAATGACCAAGCACTAATGTCGTTGAAAGGAAATTTAGGTGAAGACCCAGCGGAGGGGCTTCGGGTAAGAAAGGCTTCCACGTTGGCCAAAGTCATGGAACGCCTGGACTTTAAGACATGCAGGGCCCCGCTAATTCCGATAAGAGCCCGGAGGCACATTGGGGAAGTCTCCGGGGAGCGCCGGGCATTAGGGTCGGGGGGGCCCCGGGCGGGCCCGACGGAGGATGCGGGTGGACCGGAGGGGGCCGGGCAGGGCTGCCGAGGGGCCGGAGAGCGACCGTTAGGAGCGCGGGGGTGGGAAGGAGGCGGGCCGCCCGGGAGGACGGCGTGCCCTTCAGGGAGGGGGCGCCAGGTGCGCGGGGCGAGGGGCGCGGGCGGCCGCCCACCGGGAGGGGGCCGGTCTCCCTCGGGGCCGCGCCTGGGAGGGGCCGGCGGGAGGGCGGACGCACCGGGCGGCGGCGGCGGCGGCGGCGGCCTGGGCAGAGACGCGGGAGGGTCCGTGCCGGCGGCCCGCGTTCTCGCTCTGACTCTCGCAGGCTCGGCGCGGCCGCCTCGGCGTCGGGGGCGGGCCTGCCCCGGGCCCGGCGGCGGGCCGGGGGCCGCGGGGCCGCCGAGCGCTTACCGCGGCGGGCGGGAGGCGGGAGGCGCGAGGCTCCGGTCCCGGGGCGTTGGCGGCGCGCGCGGCGGGCCAGGGGGCGGCGGCGACGGCGGCGGCGGCAGCGGCGGCGGCGGGGGAGGGGGCGCTGGCGCTCCCGCGGCGGCCGCTCCTCTCTGTTTGTGTTTGTAGCAAGATGGCTGCCCGCCTCGCACCACGTGACGCGGACGCGGGGCCGCGGGGCCGCCCCCTCCGCCGCCGCCGCCGCCGCCCCCCCCGTCGCCGCCGCGGTCGCTCAGGCCCCCTCCACGGCTCTGGCCCCCAGCCGCCCGCACGGCCTCGCGCCCGCCCCGCCTCCTCAGTGGGGAGCCCGGACGCCTGCCGCCCCCGACCCCCCTGGCACGTGACCCGGGGCCTGGCTCGTCACGTGATGCAGGGCCTGCATTGGGCCGGGGGGGGTGTCGGGGGTCCCCCCCGGGGCGCTCCCCGGCTGTTCCCCGGCACGTGACGCGCGACCGTCGCGACGGAGGCCGCCGCAGGTGGCATCGCAGGGCTTGCCTCGCCAGTCGGCTTCCTCCAGGAAGCCCGCCTGGGTTGAAGGAGATAACATATAATCCCGAGGTGCGTTCATCAGACGTCCTGGGGTATGTGAAATAAGTGAGGAACTTATGATTTGGACACTGTCCGAGGCAGCGCTGACTGGTGAGACCCGTTCCATCTGGCTCCGCCAGTGACTAGCTTCTAGACCCTGGGGGAAAGCAGCTGATGCTTTCGGCCTCCATTTCACTTTCACAGCCAGGTGTTAATGCTGTTCTCCGCCCCACCCCGATCCCCACGCCTCTCCCTTCCCGGAGTGCTGAAAGAATTAAAATAGGTGGGGAAAAAAAAAAAAAGGTGAATATGAAAGGCTGTGAAAAGAGAAATTATTATGCAAATTTGAGAAGTAGATTGACACCTCCTTTGTTTAAAAAAAGTGGTTTTCAAGAAAGACTTCCAAATCCCTGAACTTTTGGGGACGAAAAGTTTGGTTTTTTGCCTCCTGTGTATTTCCACTTTTTTTTTGGATAGTTATTCCAGAATGTATACTTCACTTTCCAGCTTCCTAAAACATCTGTTGGCAAACACAATGTAATCCTTCTCAGGACAGGGAAAAGTAAAGTCAGACTGAGAACTTGAGTCCCTTGTGTTGTGCCATATTTGAGCCACAGACCTCAGGAGCTACCAGAAGGCCCTTTGTTCCTGCACTGAGTGTTCCCCAGGCTTCTATGCACTTGTAGTTTTAGGGTCTGTTCTTTCAGTTCCTTTCACTTTCCTGCAGTCAGGACTTCTGTCCTAATGCTGCCAGTCTCCCAGCTTGCTTGGAGGCTGGAAAATGGCAATTGTTTAAAGCAAGGGTTCCCATGCGGGTTTTATTCATTACTGCCTGTGGCCTTGGAAATAATCTCTTCCGTCTCTGGAATGTATGGTAAAGCATTTAACATAGTGCTTGGCACAGGGCAAGTACTCCACAAATGTTAGCTGACGGGGGCTTCTGGTTCCAACAGGGTGGACAATATTCAGATTGTTAACACTGTATAAAAATGTATCAGTAGAATCCAGGCTTGGGTGAGAATTCTTCACCTAAAGTTCATAAACGTACAACAGTTTTTTGTTACTGAAAATCTGTTGTTCCTTTTTGTTTGTTTTTTAACTTTGCTAGAGTGTGTCCTGAGCAATTCAAGTTCCCAGCAGCCTAATCTCTGAATGAGTAAGGTCTTAGCATGTTTTAATTGTTAATTAGCAAATGCCAGATTGCAAATTTTGGTGGAGAAATGGCATAGGGGAAGGGGGGGGGCTCTGTGGAATGCTGTCTGTAGGGGATGGTGGGGGCCTGTGCTGAGCTGGACGGAAGGCATTTGGGTAGGTTTAGGAAAAGTGGGGGTCAGCTTTACAATAGCCGCAATCCAGGCTGATGGGAGAAGAGCACCTGGATTGCTAGTTGGATGAGAAGGGGAGCAGAACTTCAGCTGAGGGCTTTGACTGCCACCATAAAAATGTGTTTGATCTGAGAGTAGAACCCACTAGATGTAGTCTGGCAAGGAGCACACGCTGGTCTCCAGGGTACAAGATTGGAGGGATCACCGAGGGTGCCTTGTGTTCCAGCTTGTGACCCTGGCCAAGTAATCTCCCCCAACTGTCAAGTTGGGAAAGATGCTGCTGCCCCTATTGCTGAAGATACTGTGGAATTGAATCTGTTAAGCGCCCTCTTTGAGAAAGGAAATTGAAATCAGAACTGTGCGTCTCCCATACGGAATGAAAAAGAGAATTACAAAAAAAACCACTTAGATCTAAAATATTTTTGTGGGGCGCCTGGGTGGCTCAGTCGTTGAGCATCTGCCTTCGGCTCAGGTCATGATCCCAGGGTCCTGTGATGGAGTCCTGCATGGAGCTCCCTGCTCGGCGGGGAGCCTGCTTCTTCCTCTCCCTCTGCCTGCCTCTCCCCCTGTTTGTGCTCTCTCGCTCTCTCTCTCTCTCCCTCAAATAAACACTTAAAATAAATAAGTAAATTGGCACACTCTTGAACTAAAGAAAGATTTGGTGAGGTGATTAGTTGAGATGAAAGAGAGGTCTCAAGTCTAAAAAGCCAAGCTCTGCCTTTTTTTCCTAATGGCAGTTCCTCTCTGGTGTTTGCCTTCAACGAAATGCAAAAAGATAAGGGGCATCTTAATGTCAACTTAGTTTATTGCAGTGCCTGACTTCACCCACCTAAATCATGAACCTTTATATTTATCTGGATGTCAAAGTTTAGAAAACATACTTCAGATCTCATGAAAAGACACATATCCTGAGTAAAGGAGTGATAGTTCCTTTTTTAAAAAAATTTTTTTAAAGATTTGATTTTATTGGGGCTCCTGGGTGGCTCAGTTAAGCATCTGCCTTCGGCTCAGGTCATGATCACAGGGTTCCTGGACCTGAGCCCCACATTGGGCTCCCTGCTCAGCAAGGAGTCTGCTTCTCCCTCTCCCTCTGCCTCTCCTCCTGGCTCATGCCCTCTCTCTCTCTCCTTAAAAAAAAAAAAAAAAAAAGATTTTATTTATTTGAGACAGAGAACACGAGCAGGGGAAGAGGGGCAGAGGGAGAGGAAGAGGGGCAGAGGGAGAGGAAGAGGGAGAAGCAGACTCCCCACTGAGTAGGGAGCCCCACACGGGGCTCAAACCCAGGACCCAGGGATCATGACCAGCAAGCCAAAGGCAGACGCTTAACCAACTGAGTCACACAGATGCCCCTGGAGTGATAGTTCATAAACTATGTTTATTGTTAATTATCAGACAAAATGGGTCTCAAAATGAATTTATTCCATTCAGAATTACTTTCTGCCATGAGCTAAGTTTTTCAGTCTATCAAATGTAACAGCTTGTCAAGTCATCAATGACCTATACATTGCTGAATCCACTGGTCCATTACCTTATGTGGCCTGTCAGCGGCATATGTCACAGCTGGTCACTCCCTCCTCCAGGAAATGCTTTCTTCACCTAGTTTCCAGGACACCATACTCCCTGGGTTCCCTCCTACCTCACCAGCTGCTCTTTCTGAGTCCTTTGCCGATTCCTTCTTTCTTCCTTAACTCACAGGACTCAGTCCTTCCAGACCTCTCCACCGTAACAGGAGGGACTGCACAGACTATGAGCCACTGCTAGACATTCCTATCTCATCTTAGCCACTGCTTCTTTTGGAAAACCTTAGATCTCCCCAAGGTCATATTGACTATTCCTCCTTGGGGCTCCACTGAATCCCGTACATGCTCTCCATTTAGCACTGGGCGCACTATTTTGCTCATCTTGTTTGCCTTCCACGAGTTGCTCAGCACGGTATTCTGTGATGTAGCTAGTTTTCCAACAGCCTATCAAGTCTTCTGGATCCACCTTTTACTGCTGAGGACTTTTCCATGGTATGGATGTGCCATTTTGTTTAACCATTCCCCCACTGAAAGACACCTGTGGTGTTTCCAGTTCAGGGCTAGTACAAACAAAACTGCTATAGACATTCATGAACAGGTTTTTAAATGCCTTTGAGTGCTCTTGCTGGGTCGTATGCTGAGTGTATGTATGCCGGTTAATTTTAGAAGAAACTGCCAAACTATTTTCCAGAGTGCCTGGACCATTTAACGTTCCCACTGGCAGTATGTGAGACATTCGGTCTCCGTGCATTCTCTTCAATACTTGGTATGGTCAAGACTCTTCCTTGTAGACATTCTACTAGGCATGTGGTGGTACCTTGTCATGGTTTTAATTTGCGTTTCCTTAGCAGCTAACAATGTTGACTATCTTATGTGCTTCCTTGCCGTCCTTATACCCTCTTTGCCAAAGTGTTTGTTCAAGACTTTTGCCCATTTTCTAATTGGGTTGTTTGTTTTTTAACTCTTGAGTTTATTTTTTATTTTTTTTAAAAGATTTTTTATTGGGGTGCCTGGGTGGCTCAGTCATTAAGTGTCTGCCTTCGGCTCAGGTCGTGATCCCAGGGTGGTGGGATCGAGCCCCGCATGGGGCTCCCTGCTCCGCAGGAAGCCTGCTTTTCCCTCTCCCACTCCCCCTGCTTGTGTTCCCTCTCTCGCTGTGGCTCTGTCAAATAAATAAAATCTTTAAAAAAATTAAAAAACATATTTTTTATTTTTGACAGAGAGTGTGTACAAGCAGGGGAAGAAGCAGGCAGAGGGAGAGGGAGAAGCAGGTTCCCTGCTGAGCAGGGAGCCCGATGCGGGGCTCGATCCCAGGACCCTGGGATCAGGACCAGAGCTGAAGGCAGACGCTTAAACGTCTGAGCCCCCCAGATGCCCCTCTAACTCTTGAGTTTAGAGAGTTCTTTTCGGGATACAAGTCCTTTGTCTGATAAGTAATTTGCAAATATTTTCTCCCAGTCTATGGCTTCTCTTCATTCTCTGAATATGGTCTTTCACAGAGTGAAAGTTTTTGATTTTTCCCCTTTTTGCCACATTATGAGATATAATTGATGAAATATCAATTTTCTTCTTTAATAGATTGTGCTTTTCCTGTTGTGTCTTAAGAACTCTTCACCTGGGGTGCCTGGGTGGCTCAGTTGGTTAAGCGACTGCTTTCGGCTCAGGTCATGATCCTGGAGTCCCTGGATCGAGTCCCGCATCAGACTCCCTGCTCGGCGGGGAGTCTGCTTCTCCCTCTGACCCTCCCCCCTCTCATGTGCTCTCTCTCT